AAAATAATAAATAAAAATAAAAACAAATACGATTGCTTTGCATCGTTTAGTCACAGGAGGCGGAGGAGGAGGAGGCGGCGACGCTGGCGGCTAGGGGGCGGGGTTGCTCATGAAAATGCAGCGCAAGTGGAGCACGCAGACACAGRCGCATGCAGCATAAAACATGAATATAGATATACACAGATATCTGTGCGTATATATAAACATAATGCGAATGCAAATGTCTAAATTAAGAATTTATAGGCGGCGCCTAAGCACTGAAGTGGCGGCTGCTATGTTTAGATTAGCGCCCAATGTCCATTGCGTGTCAAGATTCCGTCAAGTGTAGAGCGCGTTCGCAGCTTGTTCTCCCTTATTTATTTTTTCTTATTCTTTTCCTTTCAATTTTCACATTGCGACTTTAAATTACAAATTTTTGAATTTCAAGACGGGCCCGCGCAACTGTTTTGAAAGCGCAGAGTTGATAAATGGAAGTCGAACGGTTAAAGTGCAGCAGGTTGGCACGCATGCGTTCGTTCAGTCGTCGTCAAATGTATCGTTATCGCAATGTAAGCTGAATAATTAATAGCAGTGCCACATCGAGCGCAACAGTTTGCTGTTAAACCGATAATTTATCATATCAATCATTTATTTGGAAAATATCCAAGTATAGCATAAAATTATTAAACAAACAAAGCATCTGTCTTTACATACTGCAATTAATTTATTTAAATCGATTATAAAATATCCAGACAGCAGCAGTCTAACAGCTGTTAACTAACTAGCTCTATCGATAATACGCGCCATTAAAACTCATATGTCATCGATAATTCAGAAGCAATAACAAAGCCGAACGAGGCGGACGTGTGACGCTCGGTGCGCTTAATTGTGAATTGAATTCGTTGTCGCTTGGTTTATATGTGCGCTGGGTTTGTGACTTTGTTATCTGTCGTTTACTAGCTGACTCTACCGATTACCACGCGTGTATTTTTTTGTTTATGTGTGTGTGCGTGCATGTTTGCCTATGGCACAAATTCAAATAATTTAACAAATCTAATGTGCCTTGCAACACAACAATTTCTTTTTTCTATCGTTAATGCCGCGCTTCGACTTAAAAAATAATTTGAAATATTTCGCCTGCGAATTAAATTAGTTAAATGCAATAGCATTTCAACTAAGTACTTCGTTTATTTTTTTGTGTATGTGAGTTATTTTATAAATTTTTTTTTTTTTTTGTGCAAAGTTGAACACACACACATAAGCAAAGAGCAGCAAACAAGAAGTTGCTGTGCGCTGCGCTGCCACTGCCGAAGTTGGCAGAACACGACGGTATACACCAACACAACCAGCATTGAGCGTATACGTATACACACCTAGATGTGGACACTGACACAGATGCAGATACAGCAGCCAGCAGCCAGAGCAGCATTGACAAAGTAACGTGAAACGTGTTGTGCGTGTGTTTATGTGTGCGTGTGTGTGTGTGTGTGTATGAAATTTGTTGTGCGTGTGCTGCGCGTTCAATTCAAATTTAAATGGTCTTAACATTTCAAGAAAACGAAAATAAAACACAAGACCAAAAAAGAAAAACACGCAAATCGAAAAGTACAAAAACAGCAAACGCAGAGCCAAGAAATTTCCGTGACTGTTGTCGTCGCTGTTGTTGTTGCTTTTAGTGTTGTTGTTAGTGCATAGCATCCGTAGTGCTGTCACGTTTCAACTCACAGGCTGTTGCATTTGCGACGTCGGCAGCGCAGCTCAAAAGGGCGCTGGAATTTCTCGGCTTCTGTTTTGCTGCGGCCTCTGCCTCTGTTGCTGCTGCTGCGTACAGTGTGACCAAAACCTTGCGAAAAGAGCGCGCGCGCGCCGCGGATCTGATATTATGAACGAATTTGCGCTTTGTTATTTTCCTTTTTGTTTTGTTTTGTTTTGTCAGTAAACACATTTATTTATTGTATATGTTGTTGTTGTTCCATATATGTGCCACAGTTTTGAATTTCGTGCCGTCGTCTCAACGCATCCGCAACTACAGTACAGCCTCTCTCCGCCCCTAACACCCACCCACCCCAAAGAGAAACATATTAAAACTTAAACAGCAAAAACAAAAAAAAAAAACCCAAACGAAAAAAAGACGCAAGATCTAAATAAAAGCAAAAAGAGAAGTGTTTGTGTGCAGTTCAGTGAGAGCGAGAGAGAGAGAGGAGAGAGCAGAGAGCAGCTGCAGCTTAAAACATGTTTACCGAGGAGGGCATCTTTCCCATAGGCGATGGCCTGCTGGACGTTGATGCCGAGCGCTTGAAGGGATTACTTGTGTCGCATGACATCAACGAGATCTACGAGGTGGAACAGACGCCGTTTGCCAGGTGAGTGAGAAACCGGAGCACGAAACGTGTTTTTATTTTTCTTTGCTTCTTCTTCTTCGTCATTTGCTGTTTGCTCCGGCTGCGGCTCAAAAAGTTGCCAAAAAAGCGAAAACTGCGTCTGCAACATGTCCAGCGAGCGACAAGCACACAAAAATGCTTAAAGAAAGTCAGTCAACAGTCAGTTGGTTATTTTTTTTTTCTTTTTCCTTTTTTTGTGTATGTGTGTATGTGTGTTGCTTGAAAACTGAAATCTTCTGCGCAGGCGCCGCAGCAGCAGCAGCGAGCTAAAAAACTTGTTTCTGTATTTTTCTGTGCGCAGTCGGATATCTGTATGCGTGTGTGTGTGAAGTAGAAGCTTGCATACAAATACATGCACACACACACACTCATGCACTACTGCACACATGCACAAACAAAACACAAGCGCTGAAAAACTTGCACTGGGCACTCTTTTGCGCCGCTATTACTGTTGTTCAGTTGTTGTTGTTGTTGCTGTTGTTGTTATTATTATTGTTCCTGTCTTTGCCTGCCCTTTGTGGCATTTGCTTTTGCGCATACAAACAAAAATAACATCAACAACAACAGCAACAGCTATAGCAACACCAATACCACAAAGCAGCTGTTCCCGTTTGCCGCCTTCGCCTTCGCCGACTGACCCCTCGCTTCATTTTGCATTAATTTCGCCGTTGCCGTGCATTTTGTACGATTGTTGCTTGATTCGCCTTTTCGCCCTTAGTCTGCGACAGCCGCTGCTGTCCCTATCGCCGTCGCAGTCGCAGTCGCAGTCGGACAACCTTTTCTGCTAGATTTGCATTTTTTTCTTTGTGTTTTTCATTATAATTTGTTTTGCATTTCGCTTTATGCCTTTTCCGCTTTCCGTTCCATCATCGRCAGTGGCAGTGGCAGTGGCAGCGGCAGCAGTTCGCTCATTAGTTTTCTTTTATTTGGTTTTTATTCAAAATCGTCTCGTCGCGTCTGCCCAACTCCAATTTGCATAAGCATTTCGCCTGCTTTTGSTTTTGCTTTTGTTTTTTGCTCTTCATTTAGTTATGTTTCCGCAGCAACTTCCTAGAAGCGCTGCTCCTGACCTTCTCTCTCGCTCGCTCCCTATTTTTAACTATTCTGACAGCGGCAATTAGAGCAAAAGACAGACAAAGAGAGGGAGGGGGCGTAGAGCGTGCTAAAGGAGCGCGACATCGCCACTTGAGACGACGCCTTTCCCCATGTCAGTCTGCTTGCCTCAGCTCCCGTTGTTCTTTCTAAGTACACTAGAAAATAACAGCAGAAGAAGAAGGAGAGTGACTGAAGGTCGTTCGCTTCGCCTCAGTTGCATTAAGCTCTCGCACGCTATCTCTCTTGCTCTTCCTTCTCTTGCTTAGAAGAGCAGCTCAGAGGCAATAGACGAAGAGCCGAGCCGCTTTATCGGCAGCTCGTGCGGCTTTAAAGCTGCTGATAAGCGCCCTCCACGCATCAGCGTAGGCAAACAATTTTATCAGCTATCGATGGGCTGATTTCGTAAACGCGCAACGGAATCACGAAACGCAATAAAGCACACATACGCACATATACATAGATACCAATACATATAGAGACTCGTATCAGCTTTTTTTTTCTTTTTTTGGTCTTATTTAACTTGAACTGCAAGGCTTATCATATCATATCATTTCGATTGTTATTTCTTTAAACACATTCTACAGGTGCGAAAATTTATGTATATACATACAAAGTAATATAAAGTTGTATATATATGTATATGTATATTTAGTATGTGTATGCCATTTCTAGAGATAATACATACATATGTGATATTTGCAGACATTTTCCAATGCAAGAAATATTTCTCCTAAGTAGCAAACTCTCCATCATTACCGCAAAAAGTGTCCGGCTGCAAATTTGTCAGAGAATAAGCCATATTATTGACTCCGAAAAACCTCTTAAATTTCGAATACCTCTAGCTCGAGTCTTCTTTACCCAATTGAAAACTCAATTATAAATTTTGATTCGTAAGTAGCAATACTAACGACCGAAATCTAAAAACTTTACACAATTTTTAGAGCGCATTCGATTTGTATTTGGCTTTATAACTGAAATGAAACATTTTTGAAACAACTGTGTCTCGCTCGCGCACTTCACATTTGTTAATTATATTAAACAGCTGTGCGTTAATTGTTAATTACGCTAAATGCTGAATGGATACAAACAATATTTACACCTTTTCCCGTTTCCCAACTCACATTGCTGACTGATAAACAGATATGCTTTAAGTTTAACTACTTCAGAATGAACGGAAAACATTTTTTAGCTGGGCTCGAAAATATATGTATATATTCTTTGTTCTTGTCAACTACAAGTGCTATACTACAGTCAACTCAATTTGAAAATGGTCTATAAAATCATGCATGGGAGTAGAGGAATATCTTCAAATTCCAAGATCTGGTCTGGTTTGCTGCTATATAAGATATATATA